CACGACGCTCTCGAACCCCAAAACCCCAAAACCCCATGGGATAAAATACAGCTAATAATACAATTTATCAATATAATAATATAATAAATCTGAATAAGAAAATGAGTAGACTGGATAGATTTGCAGAAGACTATAAGAAACTAGAGACTCTAGAGCGATCCATTAAGGAAAACCTTAAGGAAAGACTACTCCTTCAAAAGCAAGGTTAATCCACTGGAAGAGTAAGTTATATTATGCAATTTCTATTCCTTTTTCCTGTTTTCTTATCATATAAAAATGAGTATAGGTAGATTATTTATTGAGAAGTCACTCAGATAACATCAAAGACGATGTCAAGAACTTTGAAAAACTGATTTATCTCTACTAAAACGAAGGCCATAAATACCCTGAACTGTATGTAAATGAAAACAATAAATATCTTTAGATCTGAGAAAGAGAAATAGAAGCGTATTTAGAAGATTGAGGAACTTAAAGAGAGAATTGAGGAATTAAACACTTCAGTCAGATTGCTCTTAGATGGCAGTAATTTACAGCACATCAATATGTTCAACTATTCTTATAGACAACTCACAGTAATTCAGTGCAAACCCAACTATGGATGACAACGAAGCTAGACCCCTGATGAATAAGAGAGCCGAGGACGGAGAATATGAGGACACTCGTGGCAAGGAGAACAGATAAATTTTGAAGCAACAGAAAGACATGATTAAGAATTAAGATGAACATCTTGATTAGATTGCAGGCATAGTTTAAAACATTAAATATGAAAACCAGAACTTTGGCTAGGAAGTCACATACTAGAACAAGATGCTGACTGATTTGAACTCTCAAGTAGACAAGACTCACCAGAAGATGGTCAAGGTTGATAACAAGCTCAAAGAGCTGATTGCCAAGTCTAACTAGTGGTGTCTGTGGGTTATCATAGTAGTGGAATTAGTTATACTTATACTGTTGGTTGTTCTATGATTACATTGATTACGCTTATTTGAGTTAATTTACATCGATCTTAATTTTTAACAATCTTAATTTCAAATATATAATTGAACTGAATAAGTAAGGCAATTATTTGTAATTATAAGACAAGATAATAGACGGCTAGTCAGGAGGGTAAAAATGGCATCAAAATGGTTTCCTAGGGATGGGCGAGCCTTGTGATTTATTTTCAATTGATTCAATGATCTTTTTATTTAGCTGGAATTCATGCTAAACCATTTTAGCGTCCTTTTGCTTGCTTTTCTCTATTTGCTATTACAGGCTTTGTTGATGGTTTCTCATGATCTTGTCAGTGTCTTCCCTTCTCTTTCTCTCTTGTTCTTCATAAGCTCGTACGTCCTAGTTGATGTACTTGGCATCCATGTTGTCCTACATCTTATTCAATGAGTGCTTTGCCTGTTTCTCTTGCATTTACAAATCAAGGTACTTCTTGGTCTCCATTTCCTTCAGTTTCATCTCTTTTCTCTTCTATTCCTCTAGCTTAGCCAAGTAATTCAACTACTCCTACTAAACCTTCTCAATTGTCTTATCCATCTAAGCATTTTTCTTAGCTGAATCGCCAATTATTTAATCCTTTATAAGTTCGATTTTCTTGTCAGTAATTAATCTCTTTTCCAATGATATATTCTTTTTTTGAGCGAAAATTGGATCAAACATGTCTTGAGCTTCCGCATTTATGGTTCTATTTAATTTTTCATAATGATCACGACGAGATTATTCCTTGTGTGCATCAGTTTCGAGCTTTTGCTTTTTTACTTGATCTCTGATGCTGATCTACTTAACAATGTCTCTTTGCTTGGCTTCATAAGCCTCTCTCTCAATTCTAGCTCTTCTTTCTTCTTCCATTAGTTTTTCCATTTTCTGCTATTCCTACCTCTTAAGTTCATTGTCTCGAAGCTACTGATCTCTAATGGACTTCTCAACTATCAGTTTTTACTTGAATTCCTAAGCTTTTTGCTGTTCCTTCTATTGTTCAAGCATTCCTCGTTCCTATTGAATCTTTACATACTCCAACTCCTCTCTTTTTTAAACCTCCTTTGCTTTCTTAGACTCTTGAACCTATCGTTCAAGTTCCTCCTTCATTCTTTGCTGATTTTCACGAATCTTTTACTTTGCTTCATCCTGCTCTTTATGAAATTAGTCTACATTATGCATTATAATCTTGTTCCAATAATCATCTGGCTGATCAGTTGTTGTCATCTAAGGACCCTAATTTTAACTTGATTACTAGATAATCCTGGAGCCTGCATCTTTGATTGCACTCGACCTTGATCTGTAAGAGGAGTTAGACTGTCTACTTTGCTCTGACCTCTTAGATTAGTGACTGTGCACGTTATTGTTGTTTGCCTAATAATCTCCAGATTATCCATAGTCTGAGCTCATTCGTAAACGCCCATTATCACCAATAGACCTTTATCTAGGTTTGCCTGAATATCTACCTCCGATTAACTCAGTGAGTTTCTTATCAAGCTTGATTAAATTCTACTCAGTCATTTACTCGTTATTAATAAACGTTTCAACTTCTTCTCTAATTATTTAGTCAGAGTCATAATCTTCTGAAGGGTTGACTCCGAATTTGCTTCTTAACTTTGAGATCAATAGATTTTTCATCTGCTCTTTTCTCTAACTTTATCTCAAGTCCTTTTCGGTATTGACTGCTATAGCTGGATGTCTCTTAGGGTATGACATTTTATAGTTATATTATTTTATTTCATCTTAATTAACTTTTTTCTTTTATCAGTAATCTCAGACTCTAGGGGTTTTGGGGTTTTGGGGTTTTGGGGTTTTGGGGTTTTGGGGTTTTGGGG